GTTCAGAAATTTTACCAACATCTATTTTCTTTTGAACATTGTCTCAGTTTAATAACTTGTAAAATAAACCTTTTTAAACTTTTCTTGTTTGACTATAAAATAATTATGCATTAAGAATTCAATTTGTGACAGGTACTCACAGATACTTTTTAATAATCATTCTTGTCCATTCTATCTAGCCAATGCCCTGCTGAACAATGTGCTTCCTAGGACCTAGTCCTGAGAAATGAATTTGTAAGTTCTACTCAAACACCATGCAACTTCCTACCCCCTCACTGTGTGTATGCTCCAACGTTTGCCTGAGGGCTTCAGGTGCCACCCCTAGCCCCACCTGCCATTGGGCAGACATGTCCTTCCAGAGCCACTCAAATGCCACTTCCTTCTGCGCTGCCATGGCTCCTCCTAAAGCAAAATTAATCAGTCTCTTCTTGGAACTATCAAACCATTTCACTCATTCCTCTATCCTGGTACTTTTCACTGTACTACTTATGGATAACAAGAACATCTCATTTTTCTTTGTTACTCTAGGGCTCTGTACAGCTCCCAACATAAAAAAAGACAGTCAACCAATGTTGGCTGGAAAAGAAATACTAACATGTGGTGGTCCAATGTAGGGAATTTAAGATAAAACTTACAACTGAGAATAGGACAGTCAAATCTATCGGGAAAAAAAATAAACTGCAAGTTAATGCCAAGCCAACACTTGATGCCAACCTAAAATAACTCAAGGGGATAACTAAAAATCACATAATTACAGAGCTAAAAGGGAACTTCAAGACATCTAAGGCCACCTTTAGCTGCACAGATCAGGAATGGTTTCGTGACTACCCAGCCAGTCTCCTAACCTACACATTTCCGGCTTCCCCATTAGACTCCGCTATCTCTCTGGAGAACTTTTCAACCAACTACAATCACTGGAGACAACATGCTGTAGTGTAATCTGAAACAAATATTTTGCTCACTTTGACACAGAAGCACAGCAGACTGTTTTGAGAAAGCCAGCCGTTAATTAAAAACAAATGCTTGCATGGGTGACTCCACCTGGGCTTTTATGTACATCCCTAAAGGATTAAACCAAGGCTGCCCATCTTCAAATTTAGCATTTTTTAAAAACTATATACTAAGAAGAAAAAGTCTTGCAGAGTGGTTATTAAAAAATACTCTTGAAACAAAGAAAATCACTTGTTTTCAAGGGAAAACCTAATTATGCTATCCATAAAATGGGCATTGTCCATTAAACACTAGTAAAGATACCCTAATCACACAAATACGGCTTTCTCCTTGGGACATGATTAAAATGTTAGAGGGAAATAAACAGCAGATTTGGAGAGAATGTTAAGTTGCCCTAAGTCAATGGAATCAACTTATCTTTGTACCTTTATTTGTGATAGGTTGATTTTACTATCTTAAGATAAACTAGAAACTGTATCTTTAATCAAGCTAGACATTGTAATTCTCCTGCCCCAGCCTCCCACAGTGCTGGAATTACGGGTGTGCACCACCATGCCTGGTTTAAGGAAGGATATTTAACCAGTCACATTAGGTTATAAATACAAGCATTGTAATAAATACTAAAACTGACTATCTAAAACTGGTTTGCAGCAGTAGAAATAAACTTGTTCTTACACAATTAGTGTTATCACATTGCTAAATATGGTGAATGAAAAACAAGAGTAAAAGTTAAGAGATGATAATGATTGGTGTTTATAAATATGTAAATACAAGCATTGTAATGTCACAGCTCAAAAGAACTTAAAGGCAAACAGTAAAAAGAAAAATTATTCAGTTATCAAAATACATGGAATTCAAACTAGAAACACTAGGAAAGAGTATAAAGCGTTACTCTAAATATTACATACAATCTTCTGACTATCAGCAACTATATTATGAATTTTCAAAAGGAGTAACTCACCACTGGGGAATAATAAAATAGGATAATAAAAGACAAAATCCAGAAGGGCTAGCAACATGAACTGGTGGGGCAGGAGTGGTAGAGAATAAGCTCTCCTCTGCCTCCTGAATTTAAAAAGCATTGCTAGCTGGAATTACAACGGGAGATTTTTGACCACTAGCAACAAATTTACTGAAAGATCTAGTGCAATGGCTTCTTGTTAATTAAATAAATGATTAAAACTGTTCTAAGCAAGACATGTCTATTTTGTTTCTGTGATGAAAAAAGAACAACATCAGAGCTAGGGATTTAGCTCAATGGCATAAGTGCCTGCCTAGCAAGCAAAAAAAACAAGATTATGAGTTCAACTCCTGGTATCAAAAAAAGAAAAAAAAAGTTCTTTTCCTTCAAAGAGAGAAACCTGGAATTAGGAACTTGCTAAGTCATCATCAAAATACTTTTCATCAAGATTTTGGAATTTTCTGGAAGCTTAAAATCCAATACAAAATAAACATGCATCTGATTGTGAAAAAATGTCCAGTTAGCCAATGCAGCATGGATTTATGTCCATACACTGCTACTATATAAATAGAACTTGTAGGCACTAAGAAAACCTTTAATGAAACATTCTTTTGAACTAAGCATAATTTTCAATAAATCCTATTTATAATGGTTATAGTTCATAGTCTCATGCCACAGAAATGCTTTTAGAAGTAAGACTTTGCTCATGACAATTGTGATTAAATTCTAACAGGTACATTAGAACCTATTATTCAGTCATCTGTGGAACAAACTGAACTGATGTCCTTCAGAAATCCATGGAAGGGACCCCAAAAAGTATAAAACATAATGAGTATATCAAGAAGAGAGAGAGAGAGAGACGATTGCTGAAGATAGAAAATATTATTACTAAAGCCCAGAGACATAAACTCACAGAAATTTAGTGTAAAGGGTTGTGCTGGGCCCAGCCGAGTATTTTATTTCTTTAGCACCTCTGTGGCAAAGTGTTTCACAGTTTTTTTTTTAAATCTCAGCATTTATTTTTCCCCTTGTAGATAAAATAGTAAATTAAACTCAGGACTACAGTTTATGAATTAGATATGTGGCTTGTATGGTTCAGAAAACAGAAGTCATAGGCTGCCAAAATACATTTTTCAGTGAGAAACAGTTATCAATAAAACTGTCCTCTAGTCAGTGTCTGTGTCTATCTGACCAAAATATTACAGTAATCATCGCGAATACTGTTTCAGATGCTGCTGTCACCTCAGGCAGTGTGCTTAGACTGAGGCGTGCACTGGTACCAACAAGGAAACATCCACAATGTGGAAACCCCAAGACCAAGGACAAATACTGGAGCTTTAGAGACCCGAAGGTGAGTGAGAATCCATCAGGCCAAGATAAAAAGCGAAAGCATGGAACACAAAGGAGGAGCATACAGACTTACACACCTTTCATGTGTTATCAGCACAGTTTCTGCATTTTAACTATCAGAAAATATATGAATGTTTGTTTTACAAATCTTAGGGCCAGGAATATGGCTCTGTGACAGAGTGCCAGCCTGGCAAGCACAAGGCCCTGGGTTTGATTCCCTCCTCCCCTCCCCTCCCCTGATCAAAATATCTTAGTATGTTGACTTTAGTATGAGTTTGAGATTGTGCAGTTTCACATCAGATAAAAGAGTGCAATTCTACTAAAAAGATCTAATGGAAGAGCAACTACAGATTCCTCAGCTTTCCCACATTTCTACACTGTTCCTCACTGGCCAGAACACTTTCGGTTTTTAGGCTGGACATGGTTGGTTCTCTCCTTTCTTTGCAGATTATCTGAAAGAAAAGACAGGCTTTGGAACACAGTGTCTTTTCCCCAGGTCTCACGTACCCAAATGAGAGAAATCCATTTCTACATATGGCTGTTTTAGCGAGAGAAATGGGATTCCTTCCCCTCCAGCCAGTGACCTAAAGGAAGGAGTGACAAGACAGTAAACAGAAAATTACATCAACAAGCAATAAAAGAATACTTCCTTCTTAACAGTCAGTAGGTAATAGATTTTACAGAAAAGATAGAGAACAACAGAAATTGAGCAGGAAACAATCTTTAGAGACAATAGTGTCATCAGTATCTTTTGATTTTCCAAATGATTTATATAACTTGACCTGTGTGTTTGTTTTTAATTGATTCAGTAAGGATGAGTTTTAACCCAAAACAACTTGAAAGAATTTTATGGAAGATTACCCAGCTCCCCAACTGCCCAACTGAGGGGTACAAGAAGGATAAAATAAGAGATAAATTCAGTAACCCATGTTGGGGGGCTGGGAGGTCAGTGCCTCAGGATGGGCAAACACCCAGCTATTCCAAACCAACCACTATTTATTTGGTGTGTGCAATGCAGTGGCTGTATGCAATGATAGGAGGGGCCAGTGTAGGGTTCCAAGTCAGTGGAAGATTCAGAGGTCAATGACACTGCAGGCAAAGGGCAATCCTGGAATGACTCAAGAGGGTGGAGATGATTTTATGCTAAACAGGATCTTATTCTGGAGTATTCTTTTTCATTTTAGCAGTCTTAGTGGGTGGGAAAGGATGGCCCATCCTAAGAGTTAAGGGAAGTTTCAAAAAGGTAATAATACCACAATTCCAACCCTCCAGTCACCCCTCAGGCCATTGTGAATTTGTGATCCTCAATAGAATATGGTCACAGAAATAAAGTTGATGCATTCAATCCTGTGAGATGTCCCATTTAACGGAACATAGAGAAGTTTGAAAGACGGCATTGATTGGCTCCTCCTGTCCACCTGCCAGGTTTTATAAATTCACCCTGATCCCTCACCTAGGCCTCCTGCTCCACTGTCGACCACCAGGCCCTTCCCTCGGGCTGCCCCCTAAAGCAGCTCACTCAGTTTTAAACTTGGGGCCACTGACAGCAAAATCCTCAGGAGATCCCTGACGATCAACGCCCGATTTTTACTTGTAAGGAAGTTTCCAGACAGCTTAAGTGTTCCGGGAACAACTGTCTTGCTTTCGCTAATCAAAAGGTTACAAAAGCATAGGTGAGATCCAAAATTAGCACAGGGGAAAGAGGTGCCACTGTCTTCCTCGCTGGAAGGCGCAACGATCACGTGAGAAGCTGATGACAAAAGTCCCCCAGCCCCTCGAAGGACCCCAGAGCGAGCGGCCTCACGCTGCGATCCGGCGGCGGCGGGGCACTGGCCCTCTCCGCGCCAGGCAGGTGACAGCGCCAGGACACGGCGGCCGCCAGGGCCGGCCCGATAGCATTCCCGGCACTCCGAGAGCCCGGCACGCCGGGCGGAGTGCCCTCCGCTCCGCACCCCCACCTGTTGTGAGCACCCCCCTCAAAGCCCCGAGTTTCTCCTGTCCCAAGTGCTTTGGAAACGGTCAACGGCCGGGAAATGTGACAGTGACAACTACCATAAATATGCAGGAGAGATGCGGCCAAAGTAGCAGACACGCGGGGCCGGCGCTGGCAGGGGACGGGCAGCTGGAGCCGGGCCCGAGTCGCCGCAGCGGCGCTGCGAAGGCCGGGCGGGCGACGCCGACACCCGCGGGGCACCGAGGCTGCGGCGACGGCGGCAGCGGCAGCGGCGGCGGCGACGGGGACCTCGGACGGGCGGCTGCGCCCCCAGCGGACAGCGGGCAGCGGGCTCTGCTGCCCCCGGGCTCCGCCGCCGACCCTCCCGGCCCAGAGCCCCGCAGGAGGCGCCCGCTGTCCCCAGCCGCGCGACCCGGCCGCATGGAGCCCGGTGCGGCTCCCCGCTCCGCCGACCCCTCCGCCAGCGCCCGCCACGGCGACGGCAGAAAAAAGATGGCGGCGGCCGTAGCAGCGGCGGCGGCGGCGGCGGCTGCCTCGCACGCGTCGCTGACGCCAATGGCGCGCGCCGGCCGGCGGGCTGCGGACGGCGGCGGCGGCGGCTGCCCGGGCGAGGGGCGGGGCGAGGCGGGGAGGGGGCCGGCCGCGGGCGGAGGCCGAGCCGCAGGCTGGCGGGAGGCGGCGGCGGCGACAGCGGCGGGGACGGTTGGCGGCGCGCGGAACATGGCGGGCGTCGGCGACGCGGCCGGCCCGGGAGAAGGCGGCGCGGGCGTCCAGGCGGAGCAGCCAGACCGCGGTGGCGGAGGACACGGGCCCCCGCCGGCACCTCAGCACACGGAGACGCTGGGCTTCTACGAGAGCGACCGGCGGCGGGAGAGGCGCCGCGGCCGCGCAGGTGAGGCGGGCGGACGCGCGGGCGGCGCTAGGCCTCGGCCGGGGCGACCCCGGGACCCGCGAGCCCCGCGCGCCCCGGCCCTGGCAGCCCCGCGGGTGGCCGCGCCCGGCGTCCGGAAGGAAGCTGAGGCCGGCCGGGTCCGGAGAGCGGGCGGCGCGGCGCGGCGGGGCCGAGGGTCGCGGGCATCGACGCGGCGGGGGCTGCGCGCAGAGACGACGTGCGGCTAATGCTCTTCGTGCCAAGGTGACTTTTGTTATTTTAAGCGAACTCGAACCCTAGGAACCTGTTAACTTGCCCTCCAAATAGATTATGTCACAGATGCGGCTGACAAGTATGGAAAAGACCGGGAAGTTGGGTCGTTTTTCCCAGAACAGAAATATTTAGCACTTCTTAAAATGGTCCATGGGAACTTTTCCCTAAACGGAAACTGCCACAGAAGAATATAGGTAACCACACCTGAATCCCACCAGTGAGGGTTCTTAGGCATGTCTTAATAGAATTCTAGTAAAGGCTGCGGTTTTCTTATAGCTTTGAAAAAAATTTTTTTTAAAATTGTGTTTGTATTCATATTGCAGTTGTGTACTAGGAGTAAAAGATTTTCGAGATGTATGTTTTAGTTAATACAGAGTGAGCACCACGTTTTAATTCTTACATAATTTTGAGTCTTGAACAGAAGCTGAAGCATAACGCCACTAAATTTCTTCCAACTAAAAAATTGATGCAGTTGAATAGGAGCTCCAATAGCTGTTGTCTCCTGCAGTTCAAGCAAATAAAAGTTTCATTTGGCTGACTGTACCATAGATTGTTCCTGGGTATTGATATTATAGGCGTAAACGCTGATCCGAGGAGGTCCTACTTGGTTTGCTAATTCTTGGAACTGGGCTTAGATTTTTGAATAGGTCCACATCTTTGAAAACTTAAGTATGGACCATGGCATGTTCGGTCTTCTTCAATTAACCACTTAAAATTTCTCAATCCTGCTTTATTTGGTTTAGCTTTTGGTTAAACACTTGATTGCAAGAGTATTTACTTTCTGAATTGGCAGATTCTAAGGAAGACAAAATATTAAATCTCTTAGCTGTGTATTGAGACTTGACTGTGGAAAGTATTGTGCAAATAGGAATAGATCTGGCCTGGTTTCACTATAGTTTCTTTCAAGAAAGCCAAGGTTTTTAGAAACCGTTTTGTTGTTTGCGGGCAGAGCAAGTGAAGTTGTCAAGGGGTATTGATAGACATACCTTGGGCTGCTGAAGTAGCGCCTGCTTCTTTCCTGGTTCTTCTGGGAAGTAGCTGTGGTGGTGTAGATTGTTGGGTTTGCATAGATGTTAGCACACCACACACTCCGAGAACAGGGTTCTCTGAACCTGCTGCCTTTAACCGTGTTTGAAGCTTGGCTTGCACCCCACAGTTGCAGAAAGTCTCATAAGAGAAACGCCCAGCTTCAGCTGTTGGTATGGTCAGCTCCATCAGGTCTGTGTGAGAAGAGATGACAGTGGCCACTCCTGTGTGTAAAGTCACAGTAGCCTGAGAGACCAGCACCTAGACAAGCACTGCAGGAAGGTTAAGGTTTGGCCTTCCTGCGGTCTCCCCTGTTCTGCTGCAGACCGTGCTGCTCACACTGCTCTTGCAGCTGCCCACGCCCACCTGTTAGTGATGCTGCACTGACTTGAGCTTCCACACTTCCCGATCTGCTGGGGCAGCTCTCCAGTCACTGACCCGCTAGGGCTGCTCTGTTCCTCTGCCCTGTAACCTTTCCTCTCCCTTCTCTCCAGACTTAGGAAAACTTCCCTGGGCTTAGGGACTTTGAGCAGCACCCCACCTAGTGTCAGACAAAAAGTACTGCTGTCCGCGTCAAGCCGTCTTCCTAGGGGCTCTGTTCTTTAAGAGTTACTCCCCTGCACTTACACTGCTGGCTCCCTCTGCAACTCAGGACAGCCTCTGTCCCTCCTTGAAAGTCATCATCTTGGTGTGTGGCCTGACCATCAGTCAGTTCCAGAGTCCTCCCTTCAGGATCTTGGACATTTTTCCGTCAGTTGGATCCCTTAAATAGATACCTACACAGTTTAAATGCTTAGCCATGATCCTCTCCACTTGAGTGAAATACAGTATTCTTGTCCTTAATTTGTTTAGAAAAAATACATATATATTACCAGCTTATGTATATATGGCGGTATGTGTTGTGTACGCTTCTCTACATCAAGTCTAGTCTTTTTCCTTTCAGTCTTTTTTGGTTAATTTTCAGAGCTCTGAGAGTGGACTGAAACTTGTCTCAGTTGTTGGTACTTTACCCCTTCACATGGAGATGGCTATCTGACATTGCTGTGTGTAGTCACTGGCCTTGAACTCTGGGAGTAATGGTGATTAAAAAAAAAAAAACTAGTTTTTGCATCTTCTGTCTCCTTTGTTTTTCCTACTCCCAATTTCTGTTGCATTTTTTGGCATGAGATCAGATGGTATTCCTTATTGTCATGTTCTTGCACTTTTTTTAAACTCTTGACTCACAAAAATTCCAGGTAAAAGTGTTTCCATATAGCTGTATTCACCTTGGAAATTTACATTCTGCATGTCAACTTTGGACTAAGAATTAGGCAACCTGTGTTCTTGGCTTGATGCAGTTGTCGAATTGTTTTCTAGACCCTGTGCTTGCTTTGACTGATTGCCTAATTGGTTTGGCTGTTTCATCACCCTGCTACCAAATGGTATCTAAATTGTCTGAGTTGCTTTAGTTGATACAGAAACTTCACAAAAGGCTCAGCGTACAATAAGCGCAACACCTGCAGTGAGCTTCAAACAGTACCTGTGGAAGGTGAGAGAGATGCATGGGATTAGGGCTTGCTTGTAAAACGAAGAACCTTGAAGTGCAGTATCCCTTCTAGCCATGACTCTCGACTTCTGGAGCTGAAACTTACCTACCTCTTGCTTCTCCTATTTGTCTTTACTTGTCCTTAGACCTTTCTTTGTAAGAAGTTGAGCCAGATTCTTGCCGTGTATGTCAGGCTGGCCTTGAACTCAGTGATCCTTCTGCCTCAGCCTCCCAATGCTGGGATTACCACCATGCTCAGCCCCAAGTGCTGTTTTTTAACAGCTCTCACAACAGATTTGCAAAAGGAAAAATACTTCAACTACTCATATTCCTTGTGTTCTGTTATTTGTGTAATTGAAAATTTAAGTTCTTCTTGTAAATGTTTTATTGAAATAAGTTTTGTCTTCACCTCCTATAGAATACATCAGATAGTTATCTCTGTGGTCTAAAATTCAGCTAATTCTGAAATTATCCTATAGAGTTTTTTATTTGCAAAGGAAAATAAAAATAATTAAAAATCTGCTGGGAAATGATTTGGAGTGACCACAAGCCTGCTATGGATAAAGTAAAATCTTTCTCTGAAAAGCAGCTAATGTTCTGCCTTTCAGATTCTCACCCACATTGCTTAATTAATATACATAAACTAAACACGGAAAAGTTACTCAGTTGGGTCTTTACTCAGTTTATTATCTTGGCGTTTTTAAAAATGTTAAATTTTAACCTAGTTTACCATCCAGAATTTAGCACAACTTCATTTGTGTACCTCTTTGGGGAATATTTGCATTTTTAAAAGTCTCTGGAAAGATGGGACCATTAACTGTCAGATACTGCTCTTCTGTTCCCCATTTTTTGGGTTTACTTAGGAAGCTTGTGACCTTGGAAAAAGTAACTTCTACTTTTTTGTATCAGTTTTTCCGAAGCTTGTGACCTTGGAAAAAGTAACTTCTACTTTTTTGTATCAGTTTTTCCATCTCTGAATTCATGTATATTCTACGTATTTTTTACTTTGCTACATGAGAGTATACACATTTTTTGAAGGTTTAAAAGCTTTATAATGAGTACAGTGATATCTTTACTTACCTTTGATTTAGGAGGGCAGAATTACTATTGTACTGATTCTCAGAAAAGTTGAATCCTAATTGGTCTTGAACAAGGAATGCCTCCGTATCTGTGTAATAAACTTAATATTTTGGTATAAACATAGTAAAGTTTACTAAAGTTTTAGGTTACTTAAAACTGGAACTTTGAATATTTCATATTTTATTGACTGTTAAGCAGTATTATTTTTCAATTTACTTTTTAAGTATGCAATGTTATTTTAAGAACGATATATTTAGCCTTATTACTAAACACATAAATGTATTTGTGATTACTCATTACTTTTAATTAATATGTTTTATCCTAGATTCTTATTTCTAAAATAAGCTATCACTGAAGATAATTAAGCATAATAGTTATTATTATTAGAGGCAAAGAAGCATTTTATTCTATACTTTTTCTTAAATTTAAAGTCCTGGATTACAGAGCAGTTCTGTGGTAGGAGATGAATACTGATATAAGGTACATGGGGGGAGTTGGTTTAGGTTTATGATTGGTATTATTTTCCTTATATTAAATATCCACAATTGGGAAAACTTAATTCTTCTAATGCAGAGGCACTCTGTTATAATTACTAAAATACCTCTAAAAAGACTTATGAACATTATTTCTATATAAAAGTTAATGAACTATAAGTGGTTGGCATCTAAAGGGTTAAGTCAGTGTTTGGAAAAGAAATATTTGTATTATTTTATTTTGGAAAAGACTACTGGTAAAATGGAAAATCAGATGGTTGGCATAACCAAAGAGAGCAACTTCTTTGCTAAGACAGAAAGAGATGCTACCAGAGTGAGGAAGAAGTTGAGGAACCTGAGTTCCTTTACCTCCCCATTTTTCTTTTAAATGTTTGTGAGACATAATAAATGCCTTCATCGTAGGGAACTGGCAGATTTGATCCTATTTACTTTCCTTTGCATCCTCTCTCTTCTGTCTCCTCCAACCCATTCCCAATCATCTTCCCATCGTCACAATGTCTTTCTTCCTGTTTCTTTCTTTTTGCTCTTTATTTATGCTTTAGTTTTCTCATGCAAGAGAAACTGCAATATTTAACCTATGCCTGATTTATTTTACTTAGCTCAGTGGTACATCCATTTCCCTA